TCCCGATATATAACGCGCTGATGGCATATAGCCTACACAAGGACATGAAGGAATACTGCTTCCTAAGCGTGTGACTGGATGTTGCTGGTCCAGATGCGCGTGTCTTACGGTCTGTGTAGCGCGATGTAGAGGCTGCTTCTCCGCTTTGCTGTGCGCACAGTTCAGAGCTCCGACGCGCGGCAGCTGGCGGCGCTTCGCTACAGAAGCATCTTCCCTCTCCTCCAGAAAGTCACAGAAAACCAAGGGTGTCCTGCATCGCTTGATGTTCTCAACCTGCGGGGCTATAAATTAGAGTCAGCCCTGCGTGTCTCCCACTTTTCCGCACGGCACGCGCCATTTCGCAGACGTTAATGCACAGTCAGCTGTATCAGCTTTCTCACATCTTACATAATAAAATAGTATAACAGTGAATAAAGACAGAGGGACCTACCTGGATAGGCTATGTGTGAAAGAATTGATGGGAAAATCAAGGTTATTATCCAGTGGTAGAATCCATTTCAAGCAGCATATAGATACCCTGCATACTTTAATTTATGCTCCAAATAAAGACTCGAGTTATGAATGAACCCACACGCGTTAGACACTCCCACATCCCATCGCCTTGTTCCCGCCGCGTCACGTGACCCTCTTTGCACGCACTGTGTGGAATATAATGGCGGTGATGATGATGTGTGGGGGGGGGACAGCCCTTTTTCATTCATATCTTCATGAATGGGACTTTCTATAATCTGATTGGCTGATTGGAACATGTTACAGGGCAGCAGTAGTTGTACAGGGATCTTCATCTGTGTTACCATGGAAGCTGCTGCGGGCTTCTAAAAAGCGCTGGAACATCTGTGCAATGCTTAATTTTACCGAAAGGTGTCAGTGTTGTACTGAAATAATGTCAATATTCCGTTGTCCTCTGCAGATATGTGAAAGGTTATGCATTCCCAATATATTTTAACCATGCACATGATGTGAATATCAAAATATGGCTATCAGATAGACTTTAGGTGCAGTATCATGGCATGTTATAAATGTAGGCCTACATTTAGCCATTGACTCAATCGGTGTTCAAGAAATTTTTTTAACCTGTATTTAATTGTGTGCAGATTTAAAATAGCATACATTCACTTTCAATATAGGCCTATTTTCTGATGTTATCATTATTATTATTTTTTTTAAAGAGCAGTTTCCATATTTAACATTGCAGTGAGTGGGGTGTAACCAGAGCACAGAGTACAGTACTGGAGGGGTGCTATGGTTGACGTCAGAAGTGCGTCTGTGCACGCACTGGAGAGGAGAAGGACATCCTTTGGACGTGTTCTCGACAACAACCTGCACAGAATGTAAAACGGCATCCCTCTAGTTCTATATAAGTGCTGAATGGACAGGCAATTGTCAAGAATGGGGGTAGAATTGATGCATAATGGCCATGAAAAATGCAAACGAAAATTAAAGCTGTTATGCAAACACAACGTTACTGGACTGAAAAACAAACAGCAGAGGAAAATTAAATGATGGCCCTCGCCTAGACACATTACATAATGCACCTTTAAATATTTGTAGGAGTCTTTGCGCCTTTGGTACAAATCCGATAATGTTGACGTTTCATGTCTATGCTAGGGGGCGCTATAGTGTTCACTTTTCATATACTTTATAGTGTATTATATTCAGACCAAACTCACGCATTAGTGATTCAGATTTCAGCACGATCGGACTAAACCTGTGTGTGTAATCTTTTTTTTTTTATATATATATTTTTAGGGGGAGTCCTTGCGCCCCTACTGGTCAACCATGAAAAATGCCTCATGTCCAAAATAGACTTTTTGACTTGTTATCGTGCATAGAATTTAATCCCTCAATTTGGTACAAATCCGATAATGTTGATGTTTCACGTCTATGCAAGGGGGCGCTACAGAGTTCACTTTTCATATGTTTTATAGTGTATTATAATCAGGCCGTGATCATGTATTAGTGATTCAAATTTCAGCACAATCGGCCTAAGCCTGTGGGTGTAATAATTTTTTTACTATTTTTGGGGGGAGTCTTTGCGCCCCTACTGGCCAACCGTGAAAAATGCACCATGTCCGTAATAGACTTTTTTGCTTGTAATCATGTATAGAATTTAATCCCCGAATTTGGTACAAATCCGATAATGTTGACGTTTCACGTCTATGCTAGGGGGCGCTATAGAGTTCATTTTTATTAGATTTCATATTTCATCACATTCAGGCCTGGATCACGCAATTGTGATTTGAATTTGAGCTCTCTAGGACAATGCCTATGGCCGTGACAGGTCACCGAAGAAACAGAAAATGAAGGTGTTTTTTGCCGGCGTGCTACGGTCAAACCGTAAGGAGTATTCCAAAAAAAGTTGAAGATTTCTGTGAGTTTATGTCTGTAGATGTGACATGTCAAATCTGAGCTAATTTGGACCAAACCCCGGGGATTTGAATCTTTTTGTAGACACCCAAGTCAAAACGGTGGCGAATGTTTGATCCGATATGGCCGACTTCCTGTTCGTCATAGGGGTGCACAATGATTGGCTTTTTTGTTTGTCTCCTTGAGTTGTATCACTGTTCTGAATTTCGTGAACCTACACCAAAATATGCGTCTCAGCCTCCCATTCATTTTAAAATGTGCATTTTCAAGGGGGCGCTGTTGTGTGATGGTGCCTTAGGCATTGTCACGATGCCCATTTTATCGAATTTTTCGCCGGGCCGATCGATCTGATACTCGGTTTGGGGACTTTTCGTCCATGTACAGGGGGTCAAAAATGCGATTCAATAATAAAAATAATAATACTACTAATAAAAAGAAGAAACCGACGAAGAACAATAGCCCTCGCCAGGTACTTCCAATGATACGCTGGTTAATGGTTAGGTTGCCGAAAGAAGGGAGAGAATAGGGGAGTGACGCAATCTCTGAAGCAAAGCTGTGGTGGGTATTCCTATTTTTAGCTGGAGTGAGTAGACACATATTAGCGGCATCTCTGTCCCTCAGCCAGTTCTGTGGCTGTAGACCACAAACTGTATAGGCCTGTAAACTAATGCGAATCATTAGGAGAATGAGCCCATTTGTGCCATTTACCTATAGACCACCAAAACTACAACAAAATGTGCATTAGACCCTTGCAGTATTGTTTAGTGAGCTTTGTTATCTAGCCAAATTATAACCGAATTATCAACAATGTAGTTGTAGACATAGGCTGTATATAGAATATATGCAGTCTACAGTCTGTGGTTGTAGGCCTATTTATGCAATAATGTAAATTGTTGCATATTTTTATTTTTATTTGAATAAATTATTTAAGTCATGTTTCATCTGAGACTAAGTATTAGATGTGGGGAGACTTGCCTCAGGCAAGAGAATCTCTCCGTATAGAAATGCAAAATGCTTAGTCTGCATGTTTAAAGTAACTTGAGGTTACTTTGAACAGTTTGAGCTACTCTCAACGGATGCGACCCTTTGAGCAGTTTAACAGAAACTGTTTGGGCTGAGGACAAAAGTCAATTTCATATTTATATGATATGATATGTCAAAGATACTGATATGTGCTAACAATATAATTAACATTGCATGATCCAATGACAGTAAGTTAAGCAGAAAAAACAATCGTTCTCGCCTGGTCATCTCTATGCAGACCCCCACGATCCTCGTAGCAGGAGCACCCTGCGTCCACAAGGGG